TTATTAGAAAATCATTTCGTAAATGTGGCTATTGCCTTAGGAGAATATAATGCGAATATTAACACGTTATTTAGCAACGAATTAATAAAATTTTGTTCAGAAAATGACTTGATTTACACAGACCTTAAATTTTTTAAAGATTTTGAAAATATTTTTATGATCATGGCACAAAGAGCAGGCTTGATCATTGCATCGTAACTCGGGTCGCGTGGTCGGCGTTATCAAGAGTATATGTAATAAATGATGTATTTAGGTCGGACCACTGGCCTCTCTCATTCGAATTTAATTTTAACATAATTGCTGTTGAGAGAATTGTGGTTAATCACGTAAAATCTAGGAACCTTACTTCTTGGGGTAAGAGAAGTGGGGATGATATTAAAGCGTATGGATGGTGGTGTAGTTATCTCTTATCAGAATTTAATTGGGACTATTTGCGCTTAATTTCTTCTTGCGATGGCTGTACTTGCGACTCACACAAAGGTTTTCTCGTTAGAATTTATAAGAAATTTATCGAAAGTCTTCATACATCCGCTATTAAAAGCCACGTAAGTCAAGTAGGGTATGGAGTGACATCGCGTAAACGTAAAGGCACGCCGGGCTGGAATGATGTAGTAAAATCAGCGTATGTGGATGCTAAAGTAAACTTATCAAGGTGGATCGGGGCGGGGGCTCCCAGCTCTGGTTCTCTCTGTGATATGATGAAGCAAAGTAGATCTGTATTTAAAGGTCACTTAAAGTGTTGCCAGAAAAACGAAAATAAAATTTTATTGGAGCGGATATGTAACGCATGTAAAGACAAAAACTTTTCTAAATTTTGGCAACATACATTAAAACTATGCAACATAAGGGTTGGAGTTCCGGTCTGCGTGGATGGTGTTAGCGATAAAAAACAGATAAAATTTTAAACAGAACTTTTTGTTGAATGACTGCTATTCTAGTGGTGGCCCTTCTGCACTTGATATGCCTGTTTTATCATATACTCATATTGATGAGAGTATGGTGTATAATGCCCTTAAAACGATGCATCTTGGTAAAGCGTGTGGTCATGATCACATTTCGGTAGAACATTTACGTTGCGGTGGACCCTGGGTTGTGGTGTTTCTCTCGGTTATTATTAACGCGTGTTTAAAATACTCATTTTTGCCTCCTGACCTAATAAAATGCTTGGTTAGCCCTATTGTCAAAAGTAAAACCGTTAGCGATACGATCAGTTCCAATTATAGGCCTATCCCAATCGCTACAACCTGTGCGAAACTATTTGAGTCTATTATTCTGGATATTTTATCGAAATTTATTTTTATAAGTGACGCTCAGTTTGGTTTTAAAAAAGGTAGCTATACTGTGTTGGCAATTTTTTCCTTAAAACAAATAGTAACGTATTACGTGTCACGAAGAACAAAAGTACAAAGCTTGTTTTTTTGGACTTGAGTCGCGCCTTCAATAGGGTAAACTATAGCATCCTGTGGGATAAGTTAAAACTGGTGTGTGTTCCTTCCGACACAATTAGAATCCTTATTAATTGGTATAATACGCAGGTTAATGTAGTGAACTGGGATGGCTCGCTTTCGGACGAGTTTGTACTGAATAGTGGGGTTAGTCATGGTGGGCTGACTTCTCTTCTGCTGTTTAACCTTTACGTTAACGCTCTAATTGAGGAGCTCAATGAAACGGGTATCGGCTATCAAATAGGTGGGAAATGTGTAAACAACCTTAGTTACGCAAACGATATGGTTTTATTGAGCCCCTCAATCGGAGCCTTAAGGATGTTAATTTCTATTTGTGAGAGATATGAGAAGCCACGATTTAGTTTATAATGCAGACAAGTCTGTGGCAATGGTCTCTGGAGCGCATAGTAAAGATGTTTGTTTACCATTATATCTGAACGGCAAAAATTTGAATTTTGTGACTAGCTTTCGATATTTAGGACATATCGTATGAGTGACCTGAGGGATGATCAGGACATGGACAGAGAAAGGCGGTCCCTTGCTGTTCGTGCAAATATGATTGGCAGGAAATTTAATAAATGCGAGCGAGATGCTAAAATATTTAAAACCTATTGCCAATCGCTTTATACACCACATCTCTGGACTAAATTTAAAAAGGAAAAATATCGAATTTTTAAGGTTCCATATAACGATTCGTTCCGATTATTATTTTGTTTTCCGAGGTACTGTAGTGCATCTACGATGTTCGCTGAGGCACGCGTACCGACGCTCGATGCTTTGATAAGACATCGTGTGGCTAGATTTAGAAGTAATCTTCTCAAATCTGTAAACACGATTATACTAATTTTTACGCAAAATTGTAGTGAAATATTTAAATATTGGTCTAGTATGTTAAGATGTAAGTTTTAATTTGTTTGATAGCATTTATTTTATTTTTTATATTTATTTTTGTATTACATTATTATTTCATTTTATTTCAAATTTTTTATGTTTGGTGATTATAACTAATTATGTTTCTTTTTTACGGGCCTTTGTTGTCTGTCAATAAATGATTATTATTATTATTATTGGGATATCTGTATAGTTTTCTCTCTGGTTGGTTTCTATAAATATATAATTATAGATTAAAATGAAAAGATAAATATACATAAATATCAATAAAATAAAATAAATGCAAACAATACACAAATAAATAAAGATCCAACCAGATGGAAGCTCTCGGCAGGGGAGACCAAACGGCCGAGGGTTAGGAGGAAAGGGAAAGGAAGCGACGACCGATGCGGGCGGACGGCGAGGACCACTGCCTTCTGCATTTGAGCCCGGAGCGGTCCGTCACGGAGTCCCAGTCGCCTCAGATGACCCGAGAGGCTGACTGGGATTAGCCCATTCGCAGAGAAGACTACAGGAATAATTTCGGTCGGCCGACCACCCCACATGTTGGTCACCTCGTGAGCCAGGTCCAGATATTTTGTTCGCTTATCTGTTTCGGCTTTCACGAGGTTCTCGTCATACGGAATGGTAATGTCGACCAAAAATATCCTTGACTGTGCCCGGTCCATCAGCACAATATCAGGCTTATTCTCAAGAATAGTCCTGTCTGTGATGATGGCCCGGTCCCAGTAGAGCCTGGCGCGGTCATTTTCGAGCACGACTTCCGGCAAGTACTTGTAATACGGCAATTTCCGGTCCACGAGACCGTATTTCAGAACGAACTCCTGGTGTAGAGTTCTGGCTACTAGGTTGTGCCTGTGCAAGTACTCAGAGTTAGAAAGCGCCGAACAACCGGAGATGACATGCCTAAGTGACTCCCCGGGATGGCGACAAGCTCGACAGACGTCAACGGTGCCATCCTTTAGGATGTATCTCCGATAGTTGTTGGTCTTAATAACCTGATCCTGTATTGCACAGACAAAACCCTCGGTTTCCCCCGAAGAGGTCACCGAAACGTAGCCAGTTGAGGGAGGCGACTGCATCTACGAAGGGCTCATGTAGAGCCCTGTAGTACCTCCCGTGGAGCTCCTTCTCCTTCCATACGGTCTCCCGGTCGGAAATGCTAAGCACTGCTGGGTCCTGCCATTGCTCGTTGGCTAAGGATAGAGGGGTAAGCCCTTTATCACTAGAAATGACGTCATTATAGAATGGTTCATCCGATCTCGCCACTAAGTAATGACGTAGACCGCACACTTCACGATTATGCATGGTGAGCGTCGGCTCAGAAAGCCACGCCCACCATGCTTTCGCGGCAAGTACAGCCTCATTACCGACGATCTCGGACGATGCATCCTATAGGACGTCATTGTAGTGCGGACTTTTCTATCCAGGGCGTTAAGTTCAGTCTGACTCCACCTGAGTATGCCAAAGGTATACATGAGGACAGGCATGACCCAACCGTTATATGCATGTGTCTTATTCACACTGGACAAAAGGCTGTTAAGCGCTTTGGTCAAGCGTGCATAAAACACGTCGCAAACTGACTATTTCATACCAGCCTCATCGATACCGATGTTCTGTGACATACCCAGGTATCGATATGTTTCAGCCTCGGAAAAGGCCCTTAAGTTGACGGGCATAGATAAGTCTATGCCTTTTTTTCCTAAATATAATCATTACCATCCCTCAGAGTTAGCAACCCTTCACTTTTCAACATGGAGGACCGCACACTTATCCGTCCCCAGCTCCATTCTAATAGAATTGCTAAATTCACAAGTGATGTTTAGCAATTCTATAAGATGGGAGCGAATGGAGGCGAATAATTTGAGGTCATCAATATAGAAAAGGTGGATCACTTTTGTACCCCCTTTCCGAAGCTGAAATCCCCTCCCGGAGCCCTCCAGTAAAGTACTGAGAGGGATCAAAGAGAGGCAGAACCAGATTGGACTCAGACAGTCGCCCTTGAATATACCCCTTCTTATCCTTATGCGGCTTTCCGCAGCCGTCATCCGCTCGCCCAGATGACAAAGGATCGTACTCCACTGCCCCATACACTGCTCGAGGAAGTCTCGAACTGTACAGTCAATCTTGTACAGCTCGAGGACCCTCTTTAGTCATGTATGGGGCACCGAGTCAAATGCCTTTCTGTAATCTATCCAGGCGGCGCAGAAGTTCCGACGGCTGCGTTTCACCACTTTGCCAATGACCGCGTCAATGAGGAGTGGTTCCTTGGTTCCACGACCGCCGCCCCGACATCCATTTTGAGCGCGCGACATCACCTGATTTGAGTCCGATTCTCGCGCTCAAAATGGATGTTAGTGTCTTGTATATGGTCGGTAGACACGTGATGGGGCGGTATTTGCTCGGGTCTGTGGCACCCTGATCTTTAGGAACCAAATGAGTGATCCCAGTAGTGAAGAGGCTTGGGAGCGACTTCTGGTTGAGATCCTCTTGAAACTGTCGGGCGAGCACAGCGTGACACACCATGAACCCCTTCAGCCAGTATTGATGCAGCCCGTCAAGCCCCGGACTTTTCCAGTTCGGGGCCCTACAGACCGCCTCAGCTACGTCATCCGGCGTTATGATGACGGGGTCCATAGGCGTAATACCCGCACAGTGTGGGTACTACGCCACAACTTCCGTGCAAGGGCCCTCGCTGTGGTTTACGGGCTCTGACCACAGGCTACGCCGGAATGCGACCGTGTTAGCCCGATTTGGTGCTGGGCCCGTTCCACTTACTATTGGTCGCTCCAATGATTTATAGAGCCTCTTCTGATCACTCTCGAAGAGACGATTCTGGTTGAACCGTGTCGACCTCTCGGTATATCCCCGAATCCGCTTTCCCCAAGCAGCGATTCTTTGCTTCAGTTCGTCTATGCGCTCCGTCAGTTTTTGCATTATATCCGGCTGGGACAAACTAATATTTGTCCCAGCAAACGCCATCCTGACGGTGCGCACAATCCTTGGCCTGGTATTGCCTGACCTGAAGCATATCAGTCTGCTGATGAGGGCCCTAGTCTTTGCGATACGTTCTTCAATTCTTATTCTCCAGGTTGGGATAGCACTACTTTGTCCAGTAGCGCGTCCAGCCGTGGAAAGTTTGGCGCCTATAATACGGCAGACTGCCAGTGCGGCGCCAAAAAGAATTGAGTCCGTCTCGCAAAGGTCTCGGCTGGCTTCCAAATAGGTAACCAGCATTGGGTTCAGAGCCCTCACGACAGCCCGATCCCGCTTGCTTAGGGCTAAGCGGGGAAGTCGCGGTCGATTTTTGAGAGGCGTACTTCGCGTTTCCACAATCGCCTCTTCCAATGTACTCCACATTTGCTCTAGTTCCAGTTCCTGGACGACTGTTCCATCATCGTCTGAATCAACTGCCGACACCAAGCCAGCTGGTGGGGATGATGGATGCGAGGGGGTGCTGGGTGGTCGTGCAGCACCTCGCGCTCGGCTGTCGGTTCGCATGCTGTGGTGTCCAGCGCCAGCTCCAGACGCGACCTGGCGACCTCCAGGCAGCGGCCCTTTGCGCGTTCTATTTAATTCCATCATCTATTTTTAGGGCGTCATTTAGCGGGAGACGCCCAGACCCGGCGCCGTTTCATGGTGAGGCCATGTGCATAAGCGGGCCTTTGCACTTTTATTTTTTGCCGAGGCACGGCACTAACACCTCTTGACAAGGTGCTGACTGACTGCGCTGACGTAGCGGTTTTGTCACATAACCGTTACGTCAGCGGGCGATGGGGTCGTCACTTCCCTACGCCTTATTATTATTATTATTATTATTATTATTTATTATTTTTATTTGTTTTTATTTCTCCCTCTGTATTGAGGGGTAGAAAACGGACACACGGGCCTTGACCAAGTGTGCACGCAGGAAAAAAGAAAGAATTACAATGATGACGGTGATGAGTTAAGAAGCATCTTGAGGCTGGTATGAGGGGTCTTTGGAACTACACCAGTTGTAGATATGATGTTAGGAATGATTTTTACGGAGTCTACTTGCCATTGCCTTTTTATTTCGATAGCCAGGTCTACATACTTTGTCATTTTTTCCGAAAGTGTAGTAATGAGGTTGTGTGTGTTGCAAACTGCTATGTCTATTATAAAAACAGATTTTTTAATTTTGTCTAATATTGTTATGTCCGGTCTATTGTAATGTATAGTCTTGTCTGTTATAATTGTCCTGTCCCAATATATTTTGACGAAATTACTTTCTAAAATAGTGCTGGGAATATATTTATAATAAGTGACCTTTTTTAAAATGAATGAATGTTTGTGGGCCAGGTTTTGGTGGATAATTGCAGCAACCTTGTCATGTCCATGTTTGTAGTCAGTTTGAACTATAGATTTACATACACCTGTAATATGTTGAATTGTTTCTGAGCTACTGTGACATCGTCTACATAAGTCAGTTGGAGGGCTGGGAATATGAATAATGTGTTTTTGATAGTTAAGAGTATCTATTACTTGGTCCTGAATAGCAATTACAAAAGCCTCTGTCTCTGGGAAGAGTTATCCCCGTCGGAGCCACTCGTTCGACGCTTGCCTGTCGACATGTGCTTGACCGAGATCGGCAAGGTGGCTACCATGCAGAGACTTTTGTGACCACAAATCTATTTTCTGCTGTTTACTTACCATCTTGAGCTGAAAATTTCTGTCATTTAGATTAAGAGGAGTTAGTTTTTTGTCTATACCTACAATATATTTGTGCAGTTGCAAATGTTCAGATTTTACATAGAAATATTTGCGAAATTTGTCTATTAGACTGTTGTGTAAATTTGGTATATCGATGATGCCTCTCCCTCCATCTTGGCGTGGTAATGTGAGACGCTGTGTACGTGATCTGGGGTGGTGTTTTCTGTTTACTGTCATATTTGTATTAATTGTGCGTTGAAGTTTAACTAAATCACTCTGAGACCAATTTATTATTCCAAAAGAATAGATGAGAATGGGTATCGCGTAGGTATTTATGGCTTTTATAATATTGCGTGAATTTAGCTGAGTTCTTAATATTTGGTTTATTCTAATTTAAAATTTTTTTAGTTAAGTCTATTTTTGCTTGTTTTTGACGCTCCGGGAAGTCTGCAGTCTGCGATCATGTTCAAGATCGTCCCCACCATTACATTCGTTTTGATAAACCACAAATTCTCGCAAAAGAACACCGATTCCTACCAAGGATCATCCCTCTGCAAGATGCAGGAGTGTACAAGCTTGATTGTGAATGTGGTCTTTCCTACATAGGACAAACTAAAAGATCAATTAAAACCCGCGTTAAAGAACATATAGCTGATGTGAAGAATCGACGCTCCGGGAAGTCTGCAGTCTGTGAACACGTACAGGATCGCACCCGTCACTACATCAGATTTGATAGACCACAAATCCTCGCTTAAGAACACCGATTCCTTCCAAGGATGATTCGCGAGGCTATTGAAATTAAAAAACATCCAAATTTCAATAGAGAAGATGGATGGGTGCTGCCACCTGCTTGGGATCCTATAATTAACAAAATTAAGCCCAAACCTAAGCATACCACTGCAAGACTTCATGATACTATAAGCTCGTTTTGCGTAAATCGGATCAAAAATTAATATTCAAAAACTGAAGGTAGCCGGACTAACTATGACATTGGGACGTCAAACATCTCAGTCCCCCCCGTGACCATGGTTGCTGTAAAGCACCCGAAACGTCGGGAATTAAAAATAAGTAAAAGTAGTGAAATAAACGCGATAAAATCCGTAAATTTTGTTTTATTCAATGAATATTTTGTTTGCCAAGGTGTCTGTAGATTGTTTCACTAATGCATCCTGTAATAATCTTGTATATCGTTTGTAGGCATGTTATAGGTCTGTAATTTGCGGGGTCTATTGGATCTGAGCCTTTCAGAAGCATGTAGGTTAGACCGCTTGTTATGAATGTTGGTATATTATGTGGTGAATGTATGAAGTGACAAATATGATTGTAGATAAATGGATGTGTACATGTGAGCTTTTTGTACCAGTAATTATGTATATCATCGGTACCCGGTGCCTTCCAATTTTGTGTGCTTTTGATTATTTGAATGAATGTTTCTACTGTAATATTTTCAAACTCCATTTGTTTAATATTTGGTGTGTTTGCTATTTTGTCTAACCACTCAGCCTTACTATTATGTGCTACTGGGTTTTCCCATAGGCCTGCCCAAAATTGTTGTAAGTGTTGTGGTGATGGGAATTGAGTAGAACGTGTAGTATTAATATGGTGTCCGTACCCTAAAGTTCTGTAGAACTATTTTTCATTATTTAAAAAGTTTGCATTTTGTTGTTTACGTTTAGTACATGTTATCTTTCATCTTCTCAATCTATTTGATAGCGCGTTTAATTTTTGCTTGAGTTTGTCGAGAAAATGTTGTGGCTCCGTATTAGATTCTTCTTGTTGAGAGTGTGTTTTATATTTCCTCTTCTTTTTTTTTTCTTTAATATTTTTATTTGCGTGTTTCTCATTGTGCAGTTATATTTTCCTCTGTGTTAAATCTAGTACCATTACATAAGGCGGCTATATAAGCTGGTGAATATATTAAGGTATGTAATGAAATAAAATCTAAATCGTGGCTAAGATGCCTCGGTAAAATTTCATTATTCAAGTAGTGAACAATCTGTGCAAATTTTCGTAAATATTTCTGTTTTGGGATGTATGGTCTCGCTTTAGCATCAGTTGTGCTAAATATTGCAATAGAATTATTAAATTCTATTTCAATTTTGTTAATTTCCATGAGATTTTGTTATTGGAAGTTTTCCTTTTGAGCATTACTTAATGTACATGTTTTTATGACAAGTTGAGTATGCTGTGTGGGTGTAAAGATGTCTGTTGTGCTTTCATAAGGGGTTTGTTGCTTTTTTTCTACTACGGTATAATTTTGATCTGTAACTAGTTGTCGATTATTCAGCTCCAATTTCAATTCTACTTCTCTTCTCAATTCGTGAATTTTATTTGAGTATTTCTTATTTTTAAATATTAATCTTCTTTGGTCGATAATCCTCTGTTCAGTAAGGTAAGATAAATATGGATGTCTTTCTATGAACAGCTCATACAATTTTTTCCGGTAGCCAGTTTGATCTTTCTCCAACTCAGTTACTTCAAGATAAAACCTAATGATGTCTTCATTTATTTCATCCGACCATTTCATCCTGGTATTGTTCGTAGTATTTGTTTGTGACGGTGCTGTGTGTGTGTGTGTGTTTATGGTTCTCATTCTGTATAACATATTCTCTTACTTCATTACCTATTTCGTCTAATAGTTTTTGTGGCAGTAGTTTTCTTCTTAATATAGCTCGTTTTTGGTCTCCTAGTCGTTGCCGAGTGGCTTTCATTTCGGGATATCTACTTTCAAATTCCTGGTGTAAAATTTCTAGGTAATTATTCATGTGGGTTGTTTCGCATTTAGTTATTAATAGGTATGTACGCCAAATAAAGCGGTTCATATCTTCTGTCCATTTTTTTATCGCGCACGTAGTTGCCCAACAGTGGGTGCAGGTTTAGTAGCTGATGCCTTCTGCACAAAAGCTGTTGACCTTGTAATTCTTGATGTAAATGAAGATGATGGTGATGAATCAGGTGATCGAAATAAGCTATGAGTTGAGGAAGGTGATGTAATATTACCAAAGAGTGAATATTCGGAAGATACCGTAGATGAAGGTGAATGTGATCGTTCGGCTGTAGCAATTTTTTCGAGGGGAACCCGCCTGTTCAGTACCCCGTGGCCAACGGTTCACATGCTGTGGCATCCAGCGTTGGCTTCAGAAGCCCCCCGACGAACTCCGGGAAGCGGCCGTAAACTATATCTCTTAGATTGACTGTCCATACAATTCTCCATAAAATGGGTTCAGGATCGTTAGGTTGGGTAGGTTATAACTAAATGATTTATTGGCAAGATGTTAAGGCCGAGTTACCAGTACCAAATCCCGTAAGCCCCCCCCCCTCACTACGTCAAGGTGATCCCACGGGGGGTGGTATTATTATTGGGGGGTATCAATATAGTTTTCTCATCTGGTTGGGTTCTATAAATATATAATTATAAATGGAAATGAAAAGATAAATATACATAAATATCAATAAAATTAAATAAATATAAAAATACATAAATAAATAAAAGCCCAACCAGATGGAGGCCCTCGGCAGGGGAGACAAACGGTCGAGGGTTAGGGGGAAAGGGAAAGAGACCGGCGGACGATGCGGGCGGTATCGAGGAGCACCGCCTTCTGCATTTGAGCCAGGAGCGGTCCGCCACGTAGTCCCAGCCGCCTCAGATGACCCGAGAGGCTGACTGGGATTAGCCCGTTTGCAGAGACGACTACGGGAATAATTTCGGTCGGCAGATCATCCCACATGTCGGTCACCTCATGAGCCAGGTCCAGATATTTTGTTTGTTTATCTGTTTCGGCTTTCACGAGGTTCTCGTCACACGGAATGCTAATGTCGACCAAAAATATCCTTGACTTTGCCCTGTCCATCAGCACAATATCAGGCTTATTCGTAAGAATAGTCCTGTCTGTGATGATGGCCCGGTCCCA